TGTGTATGTAAGCGTGATTTTTTTCTCCCATATAAAATTCCGTGTTGATCAAAAAAAATTTATCAGTATTAGCAACACTTGATCCCCGTAAATCCGCAATGTCCTCCTGCGACTGATACTAATACTAACCAAAGCTGTGGCCTGTCACCTGGAAAAAAAAGAAAATAATTAAATTACATAATATCACATGACCATTAAACATATAATTAAAGAAAAAGCTTACCAAGCAACTTTCATTGTCTACTTTATACGTTTCTATCCTTGGAATATCATTGAAAGTATTTTTTTCAAATGACAATTCAATATATTGATGAAGTAGTCAATTCATTTTAAATCCCGATTCCTAAAGCTTCAGATGGTTCTAGAAACGTTCATTATCGCTAAGGTCATTCCATTATTTTTGGTACTATCAATTAAAGGATTTAGACTTTTTTTAGAAACATTTAAAGCATCTAAATTAATATTTACTACTAAACCAGCTTCTTCTCGTTGTTGTTGTTGATTATCTAAGATTATATTGAGATTAAAATACATCCTGATCCTGTATACCAAGATCAACTATTTAGAAGAAGAATTTACATTATGATGTAGTCTCGAACAAATAATACTGTCATCGTTCCTTTATCTTTAATTGAGAATTAGATCTCAATGATTGGATGGCCCATTTTCATGAAATCATCTATTATAATGTTTAAAGTTAATAAATATTTCTTCACTTGACGATCTTCGAGTAACCTCTATCACTTGTATTGTAAATGGTGACAGTGATGTTGTTGTTGAGGAAGAAGTTGACATAAAATGTAACTTTTTGTGAAGCATATGAAGAAGTGAAGCATATGAAAAAGAATATTTGCTATGATAACTCTGTTTAATAACACCATCTTTTAACATCCTAGCAAGTTTATCTGTTACTTCTTTTGTTTTAGAAACGATACCTTTTTTTTTTCAATATATGATTAAGTATAATTGCATACTAAAGCCAGTAATAGCTTGTTGTAAATTATCTTCAGAGCCATACCAATAATGCTTTTAATAAAATTAAATATGTTTATTAATCTTCCTTGTCTTAGATTCTTCATCTAGATACGCGGCAGAGCTGAGTATAGGGACATTCAGTATGGTATAACTCTTGCAAAACGTATGGTATGGTATTGTATAAGTGTAATAAAATGGTT